GATATTCTCCACCGATAATTAAGTCTATTGATCCTATTCTCCATGGATGATAAGTCCGTTAAGCATCAATTTGGGCCAATTTATTTTCGGATGGCATTATCGTAATTTCTTGGGCTGCGAAAGTCCATTTTCTTTGGATATTGAATGCTACAGATAACTTATTCGGCTTGAGGCTATTTTCCAACGAGGATTGAGTCCATTAAGCACCGATTTGTAGGGATGGCAATGGGTCGGGTCGGGGCGGATGGTGCATATCCGTTACCCTACCCAAAGTAGTTCGGGTTTTACCCATACCCATACCCACATGTGAAACGGGTAGAAAATCAAAACCATGCCCATACCCGTTCGGGTTTCGGGTATCCACGGTTATCCATGGGTAATCATTTCTCTTCATAACATCAACCATTATGTTAACATTCACACGAATTCTCACATTACGTAAGAGGAAAAGTACGACAATAATTCACTAGAATGAAGAAAATTAATTAAAACAACACAATTTCATGAAAATAATATACTTATATGCTAAATATAAAATATGTTAGAGAAAAATAATGATTATATCTAGAGAAAATACATATGCATCTGTATAATCGGGCAGGTTCGGGTTGGATAGTGAGAAATCCATGCGCACCCATTACCCACAATATTCAGGTTCGGGTTTTACCCGTACCCACTAAATGTCTTTCGGGTTCGGGTTTTACCCTACCCGATTAGGTCGGATTCGGGTGGATATCCACGGTTACGGATATTTTTGCCATCCCTACCGATTTGGGAGGATTTATTCCGGGTCAATTTTTGGCAGATTCCAAAGGGGTAGCATCACAGATTTTGGGCGATTTATCCGAAATGCCATTTTCTTTCGATTCTGGAGGCTACAGATCACGGAATCAGGCCGAGGATATTCTTCACCAATAATAAAGTATATTGATCCTATTCTCCACGGATGATAAGTCCGTTAAGCATCAATTTTGGCCAATTTATTTTCGGATGGCATTTTCGTAATTTCTTGGGCGACGAAAGGCCATTTTCTTTAATTATTGAAGGCTACAGATCACTGATTCGGCCTGAGGCTATTGTCGAACGATGATTGAGTCCATTAAGCATCGATTTGGGGGGATTTATTCCGTGTCAATTTTTGGCAGATTCCAAAGGGGTACCTTCACAGATTTCGGGCGATTTATCCGAAATGCAATTTTATTTCGATTCTGGAAGCTACAAATCACGGAATCAGGCCGAGACTATTCTCCACCGATAATGAAGTCTATTGATCCTATTCTCCATGGATGATAAGTCCGTTAAGCATCGATTTGGGCCAATTTATTTTCGGATGGCATTATCGTAATTTCTTGGGCGACGAAAGTCCATTTTCTTTGGATATTGAAGACTACAGATCACTGATTCGGCTTGAGGCTATTTTCAACCGATAATTGAGTCCATTAAGCACCGATTTGGGCGGATTTATTCCGGGTCATTTTTTGGCAGATTCCAAAGGGTTACATAGAAGATTTCGGGCGATTTATCAGAAATGTCATTTTCTTTCGATTCTGGAGGCTACAGATCACGGAATCAAGCCGAGGCTATTCTCCACCGATAATAAAGTCTATTGATCCTATTCTCCACGGATGATAAGTCCGTTAAGCATCGATTTGGGCCAATTTATTTTCGGATGGCATTATCGTAATTTCTTGGGCGACGAAAGTCCATTTTCTTTGGATATTGAAGGCTACAGATCATTAATTCGGCTTGAGGATATTTTCCAACGATGATTGAGTGCATTAAGCACCGATTTGGGCGGATTTATTCCGGGTCAATTTTTGGCAGATTCCAAAGGGGTACTATCACGGATTTCGGGCGATTTATCCGAAATGCCATTTTCTTTCGATTCTGGAGGCTACAGATCGCGGAATCAGGCCGAGGATATTCTCCACCGATAATAAAGTCTATTGATCCTATTCTCCACGGATGATAAGTCCGTTAAGCATCGATTTGGGCCAATTTATTTTCGGATGACATTTTCGTAATTTCTTGGGCGACGAAAGGCCATTTTCTTTAATTATTGAAGGCTACAGATTACTGATTCGGCCTGAGGCTATTGTCCAACAATGATTGAGTCCATTAAGCATCGATTTGGGCGGATTTATTCTGTGTCAATTTTTGGCAGATTCCAAAGGGGTACTACCTTCACAGATTTCGGGCGATTTATCCGAAATGCAATTTTCTTTCGTTTCTGGAGGCTACAGATCACGGAATCAGACCGAGACTATTCTCTACCGATAATGAAGTCTATTGATCCTATTCTCCACGGATAATAAGTCCGTTAAGCATCGATTTGGGCCAATTTATTTTCGGATGGCATTATCGTAATTTCTTTGGCGACGAAAGTCCATTTCCTTTGGATATTGAAGGCTACAGATCACTGATTCGGCCTAAGGCTATTATCCAACAATGATTGAGTCCATTAAGCACCGATTTGGGCGGATTTATTCCGGGTCAATTTTTGGCAGATTCTAAGGGGTACCATCACAGATTTCGGGCGATTTATCCAAAATGCCATTTTCTTTCTATTCTGGAGGCTACAGATCACGGAATCAGGCCGAGGATATTCTCCACCGATAATGAAGTCTATTGATCCTATTCTCCATGGATGATAAGTCCGTTAAGCATCGATTTGGTCCAATTTATTTTCGGATGGCATTTTCGTAATTTCTTGGGCGACGAAAGTCCATTTTCTTTGGATATTGAAGGCTACAGATCACTGATTTGGCCTGAGGCTATTCTCCAATGATGATTGTGTCCATTAAGTACCGATTTGGGCGGATTTATTCCGGGTCAATTTTTGGCTGATTCCAAAGGGGTACCTGTACAGATTTCGGGCGATTTATCCGAAATGCAATTTTCTTTCGATTCTGGAGGCTACAGATTCCGGAATCAGGCCGAGGCTATTCTCCACTAATAATGAAGTCTATTGATCCTATTCTCCACGGATGATCAGTCCGTTAAGCATCGATTTGGGCCAATTTATTTTGGGATGGCATTTTGGTAATTTCTTGGGCGACGAAAGGCTATTTTCTTTGGATATTGAAGGCTACAGATCACTGATTCGGCCTGAGGCTATTCTCCAACGATGATTGAGTCCATTAAGCATCGATTTGGGCGGATTTATTCCGGGTCAATTTGTGGTAGATTCCAAAGGGGTACCATCACAGATTTTGTGCGATTTATCTGAAATGCCATTTTCTTTCGATTCTGGAGGCTACAGCTCACGAAATCAGGCCAAGGCTATTCTCCACTGATAATGAAGTCTATTGATCCTATTCTCCATGGATGATAAGTCCGTTAAGCATCGATTTGGTCCAATTTATTTTCGGATGCATTTTTGAAATTTCTTGGGCGACGAAAGGCCATTTTCTTTGGATATTGAAGGCTACATATCACTGATTCCGCCTGAGGCTATTCTCCAATGATGATTGAGTCCATTAAGAACCGATTTGGGAGGATTTATTCCAGTTCAATTTTTGGCAGATTCCAAAGGGGTACCATCATTGATTTCGGGCGATTTATTCGAAATGCAATTTTCTTTCGATTATGGAGGGTACAGATCACGGAATCAGACCGAGATTATTCTCCACCGATAATGAAGTCTATTGATCCTATTCTCCACGGATGATAGGTCCGTTAAGCATCGATTTGGGCCAATTTGTTTTTGGATGGCATTATCGTAATTTCTTGGGCGACGAAAGTCCATTTTCTTTGGATATTGAAGACTACAGATCACTGATTCGGCTTGAGGCTATTTTCCAACGATGATTGAGTCCATTAAGCACCGATTTGGGCGGATTTATTCCGGGTCATTTTTTGGCAGATTCCAAAGGGTTACATAGAAGATTTCGGGCGATTTATCAGAAATGCCATTTTCTTTCGATTCTGGAGGCTACTTATCACGGAATCAAGCCGAGGCTATTCTCCACCGATAATAAAGTCTATTGATCCTATTCTCCACGGATGATAAGTCCGTTAAGCATCGATTTGGGCCAATTTATTTTCGGATGGCATTTTCGTAATTTCTTGGGCGACGAAAGGCCATTTTCTTTAAATATTGAAGGCTATACAGATCAGTGATTCGGCCTAAGGCTATTATCCAACAATGATTGAGTCCATTAGGCACCGATTTGGGCGGATTTATTCCGGGTAAATTTTTGGCAGATTCTAAAGGGGTACCATCACAGATTTCGGGCGATTTATCCGAAATGCCATTTTCTTTCGATTCTGGAGGCTACAGATCACGGAATCAGGCTGAGGTTATTCTCCACTTATAATGAAGTCTATTGATCTTATTCTACAAGGATTATAACTCCGTTAAGCATCAATTTGGGCGAATTTATTTTCAGATGGCATTTTTTTAATTTCTTGGGGGACGAAAGGCCATTTTCTTTGGATATTGAAGGCTATAGATCACAGATTCGGCTTGAGGCTATTATCCAACAATGATTGAGTCCATTAAGCACCGATTTGGGCGGATTTATTCCGGGTCAATTTTTGGCATATTCCAAAGGGGGTACCATCACAGATTTCGGGCGATTTATCCGAAATGTCATTTTCTTTCGATTCTGGAGGCTACAGATCACGGAATCAGGCCGAGGCTATTCTCCACCGATAATAAAGTCTATTGATCCTATTCTCCACAGATGATAAGTCCGTTAAGCATCGATTCGGGCCAATTTATTTTCGGATGGCATTTTCGTAATTTCTTGGGCGACGAAAGGCCATTTTCTTTAATTATTGAAGGCTACAGATCACTGATTCGGCTTGAGGCTATTCTCCAACGATGATTGAGTCCATTAAGCACCGATTTGGGCGGATTTATTCTGGGTCAATTTTTGGCAGATTCCAAAGAGGTACCATCACAAATTTCGGGCGATTTATCCGAAATGCCATTTTCTTTCGATTCTGGAGGCTACAGATCGTGGAATCAGGCCGAGGCTATTCTCCACCAATAATGAAGTCTATTGATTCTATTCTCCACGGATGATAAGTTCGTTAAGCATCGATTTGGGCCAATTTATTTTCGGATGACATTTTCTTAATTTCTTGGGCGACGAAATGCCATTTTCATTGGATATTGAAGGCTACAGATCACTGATTCGGCCTGAGGCTATTCTCCAACGATGATTGAGTCTATTAAGCATCGATTTGGGCGGATTTATGCCGGGTCAATTTTTGGCAGATTCCAAAGGGTTACCATCACAGATTTCTGGCGATTTATTCGAAATGCCATTTTCTTTCGATTCTGGAGCTATAGATCACGGAATCAGGCCGAGGCTATCCACCGATAATGAAGTCTATTGAACTTATTCTCCATGGATGATAAGTACGTTAAGCATCGATTGGGCCAATTTATTTTTTTGATGACATTTTCGTAATTTCTTGGTCGACGAAAGGCCATTTTCTTTGGATATTGAAGGCTACAGATCACTAATTCGGCCTGAGGCTATTCTCCAATGATGATTGAGTCCATTAAGCACTAATTTGTGCGGATTTATTACGGGTCAATTTTTGGCAGATTCCAAAGGGGTACCATCACAGATTTTGGGCGATTTATCCGAAATGCCATTTTCTTTCTATTCTGGAGGCTACAGATCACGGAATCAGGCCGAGGCTATTCTCCACCGATAACGAAGTCTATTGATCCTATTCTCCACGGATGATAAGTCCGTTAAGCATCGATTTGGGCCAATTTATTTTCGGATGGCATTTTAGTAATTTCTTGGGCGACGAAAGGCCATTTTCTTTGGATATTGAAGGCTACAGATCACTGATTCGGCCCGATGCTTTTCTCCAACTGATAATGAAGTCTATTGATCTTATTCTCCACGGATGATAAGTACGTTAAGCATCGATTGGGCCAATTTATTTTTCGGATGACATTTTCGTAATTTCTTGGTCGACGAAATGCCATTTTCTTTGGATATTGAAGGCTACAGATCACTGATTCGGCCTGAGGCTATTCTCCAGCTATGATTCAGTCCATTAAGCACCGATTTGGGCGGATTTATTCCGGGTCAATTTTTGGCAGATTCCAAAGGGGTACCATCACAGATTTCGGGCGATTTATCCGAAATGCCATTTTCTTTCGATTCTGGAGGCTACAGGTCACGAAATCAGGCCGAGGCTATTCTCCACTTATAATGAAGTCTGTTGATCTTATTCTACAAGGATTATAAGTCCGTTAAGCATCGATAGAAAAACCTGTCCATTCGCGAAACTCTGAGTCTGGGTTTAGTCCGCAGTCCGGAGATCGAATTCCACGATCAGCCGGATCAGCAGCACCGGCAGCAGCAAGACGCAGGCACAAGGGATGGGTCAGAGGAGGCGGCGGCGGCTTTAGAACCGCCGGCCGCCGCTGACATCGTCGGGAGAGGGAAGGGGTTTGGGCCATGGGGAAAGAGAACGATGAAGGATCCAATTTTACTGGAGGTGTTGTCTTCCCATTCCAATTTTTGGGCCTTTATTGGGACCATTTTATGTGGATCCACTTTGCCTGGAGGCGGCCTCAATGGTGATGGGCTTATTTCAAAATGGGCCCACTTTGTGGAATAGGCTTGGACTTTTGATGGAAACTATATTACCATATCAGGAAATTATCATTTATCAGCCAAAAGTACTTGAGAAGCTATCACAGAAGCGATAAAAGTGGACTGTTGGGAGATAAAACCGAAGGAAAAGTCAATGACAAGTGCAGAGTGGACAATGAAGCTTGAATTTGTACAAAGGAGGTTTACTGTTCTATCAGGATTTGAGACAACCTTCAGATGTTTAAGATGTTACTAAATCAAGGAAAGTAGAACCTGATATAACTACTGTTTCTGTAAATTACTTCAGCAATCTCGTCAACAAGACCAGCAGTTTTTTACCCATGTGATCCTTCAACTCAGATTCTGGGTTTGTGACAGTCGGACGAATGCTAAAGTGGCGATCACACCCCAGAAACCGGCCACAAAACCGAAAACTACACTGCCAGAGAACCAATGCAAAGCATGTTCTTCGTCGTTTTCTTCTCCATCCATTGAACCAGGCATTCTGCTGTCATTGCAGCAGTCCGCCGCATTCAATGGAGGCCCACAAAGTTCGTGGTTACCAATGAAGCTCCAGGAATCAAAGCTCTGCAGTTGAGTGCTTGAAGGAATTTTACCAACCAAGTTGTTGTACGACAAGTTCAAGCAATTCAAGAATGTGAGGCTTCCCAGGGTTGAAGGGATTGATCCGGACAGTTGGTTCGTCGAGAGATCCATGGATTCAAGAGAGAGCATTGCGGTTAGATCCTCCGGAATTGCACCAGAGAATGAATTATGTGACAAGTTGAGATACTGAATGGCTACCAGGCTTGTGATCTGGTTTGGGATCTGTCCTGACAAGTTATTACTAGAAAGGTCCAAACTTCTGACATAGTTCAGTATGGTGCTGTAATCGAACAACTGCCCATTCCTCGTCAGAATCAGACTATCTGAAAACGATTTCCACGCACCAGCAAAGGGTGAAATGAGGCCTGAAGTATCATTGTTTGGAGTAGCCATGGCGCTGAGATTAGCAATACATTTTGGCAAGGTACCGGAGAGAGAGTTGTGAGAAAGATCCAAGATCTGTAAAGATTGCAGGTTACAGATCTCCTTAGGTATGCTGCCATGGAACTTATTCCCGGGTAAACTAAGAATGGACAATCTCGAAAGGCGTTGTCCCATCCATTCCGGAATCTTCCCTTCCAATCCATTATGACCCAAGTCAACTGTGACTAACCTGGAGCAATTCTGGAGAGATGGTGGAATTTCACCAGACAACCTATTGTTCTGAAGGCGCAAAGACCTGAGGGAACTTAAATATCCCAGGGATCTTGGGATCTTGCCACTGAGCTTGTTCCTGCCCAATCTCATGATTGACAAGCTCTGCCAAGTCTTCCAACAATCTGGTATTTCGCCAGTCAATCTATTACCAAACAGGTTCAGAAATTCTGTAGCCCTCATTTCACTGGGGTTGAAACAAAAGAACTTGAACAAGTTTCCAGAAAGCAGATTGCTGGAAAGGTCTAGAAATGTCAAGTTGGATGAGATAGTAGGCAGTGCACCTTCCAAGCAATTGAAGCTGAAATCAAACAATGAATAAGTGCTCACAACAGGGATGACACGTGAAAGCCTTCCCGGGATTTGGTTGTGAGAGAAATTAAGATAGTAGAACTGAGAGGACATGCTCCAGAACCAGTCAGGAATGGGTTCTGAAATTCCAGAGTTAGATAGATCAAGAGACTTGAGATGCTGCAAACTCCGCAACCAATGGGGGAATACAGGTCCAACATAGCAAGATTCTAGGTCTAATTCATCAAGTAGCTTGGAAGGAACCCAATCTGGTTTAGCTTTCAAAACCATCTGATTTCCAGATGCATAAAAGCAAGCCAAATTTCTGAGATTGGCAAAATGAACTTCAGGGTAAATGACACCATCCAATGAGTTCTGAGAGATATCCACATAACTCAGCTGTGCCAATGCCCCAAAACTTGTTGGAATTGTCCCACTGATCTTGTTTCTTGCAAGGTTTAAATAGTATAAGGATGTCATTTCTCCAAATGACATTGGAAGTGAACCAGAAATGGAATTATTTCCGAGGCTGAGACGGTTAAGACTCTTGAAAACTCCAATCCGATCAGTCAACTGACCAGACAGTTGGCAACTAGACAACAACAATACCTGTAAAGTATCAGAAGCACATTCTGCAATGATTTCAAGCAACTCTGATACATTTTGATTCAGTATTACATTATTCAGAGAAAGTGACCTCAAATGGCAGAAGCTTTTGAACGACTCCGGAATTCCCCTCTCAAATTCGAGGCCATGATTGTCTGATATGTCAAGGTAAACAAGAGAAGACAAGTTTCCAATGCCAGCAGTTGAGACTTTACCATCCAACTTATTAGCGCATAGATAAAGCGTCTCAAGATGACTTAATCTATATAACCAGTCTGGTATTGGATGATTGAATCGATTGCCGGACAAGGAAAGGGTCCTCAGTGAAGTAAGGTTTTGAAGCTGGTCAGGAATCGGACCATCAAAAGTGTTCACTCCTAGATCCAAGTAAGTAAGGCTCTGAAGATGAAAAACCCAACTAGGAATTGAAGTTTGAGCAAATTGATTGTGATACAAACTAAGACTAGACAACGAAGAGATGTTCAAATTCTTGAGGGGTGGGATATAACGGATACGACAGTTTGATAGATACAATTCTGAAAGAGTTGGGAGTGTGTTTATCATGCTCAACCAGTCAGAAGCATTGCTGAGATCGACATCACTCAAATCAAGGTATCTTAGTGAAGACAGACCAGAAAGCCACCGCAAACTATCAGCATATAGCACATAATCTCTAGCAGCCTGCAGGCCAAGTTGCTTCAGATTTGTGAGGTTTCCAAGTTGATGAGGAATGACTCCGCCAAATCCAGATCCATCAAGATAAAGATGCTTTAAACTACTCATAGAGCCAAGGAAACTTGGAATAGGAATCCCTTGAAAATGATTGTTTGACAGGTCCAAATAACCGAGATACTTCAACTGAAGCAATTGAGAATTTAGCTTACCACTAAACACAGAACCGTCCCAGGAAGACGACCACCCGAGATGGAGCTCAGTGACATGGCCAGTAAAATTATCACAGACAACACCTGACCATATACAGCAATCCCTTTGGACAACCCAAGATGACAGAGAGCTTGAAGGGTCTTCAAGATCAGCCTTGAACTTCAAAAGGGCTTCTCTTTCATCTTGATCACAGCCTTCACTAGAAGCCGCACGGCCAAAGCACACGCAGCCCAAGCAAATAAGAAGAGCTGCAACAGTAGTCATCCTGTTAAAGGTCATTAGTAGCGAAGGGCTCAACTTCAGGGCAAATATACCATATACAAGCGTTGTCTTATCCCTTTTCAGGCTACAACTTTCCTGCTTTGCTGGGACTCTTCAGTGAAGAATTCTTCTGAGTTCCCACTTGAATTCAGCCAAATTCTTGGTTTCTTAACCCTTTGCAGGCTACATCTTTCCTGCTTTGTTGGGACTCTTCAAAGAATAATTCTTCTGAGTTCCCAATAGAATTCAGCCAAATTCTTGATTTTAGCCAAGAGAAAAAAACATCAGCTGCTGGCCACCATTCCTTAAACATAAGATAGAATTGTCATTTTGTCTGAATCATAGTGAACCGTAGAAGCTGGAGAATCTGAATCATAGTCTACAGTGTACTGTCTATAGGATGAAGAGGTTTTAAGTTGCATGAAAGCAGATCTCATAAGCTTGTTTTTGTGTTAAGAGTTGTATTACTGCAACATCAGGCCTGATTCCAACCAGTCCTGGGAACTTAATTTGCAGCTAGACTTTGTCTTGTACTTTAATTTCTCCCTTATAATAATTGATGTCATCCCTATATAAAAAAAAAGTTCAGCTGGTGGCGTCAATTTCAGCCTTTGGTGGCATCGCTTCCTGCGCTTTGGGCGCTCCCAATTCGAGAGTTTCAATATGGATGATCTTAAAATCTCGTAACCAGATGATTTTTGGTTTACTCAATCAGATGTCCATATCCTAACTGCCTAGTTTTCATTCCAAGTCCGAGAATTTGCCTCTTCTCTTCCCCTCCCTCCTGCTATTGCTCCTCCTGGATGGCTTCTTGAATGTTATTTTGACACTAGTGCATGCCGATTTTCTTGCTCTTCAGGGCTGGTTGTTCATGATGATGATGCTCAGTTAATAGGCAATTATCCAGGATGATCATCAAGGCTAACTCTGAGGTTGACATCCGACAGTTCCGAAAGGGCATTCATACTCGATAACAATTAGAAGATATGTATCCCTCCCTGACTAAGTTAAAACTCTAGCTGCAGAGAAATGAGAACATAGCACCAGCAGACCATAATAAGAGAAAAATCAAAGGAAACAGAGGAATTAATAATGGAATCTTACTTACCAGAGAAGGCGATTATCAGACACAACATGAGAGGTACCTCCAAGGCAGTCCCCAGTTTAGTCTTCTTCCAACAGACAGAAGCTATCCCAGAAGCGATAAAGTCGAAATTGAACGAGAAGGAAGAACAGTCGAGAGATAAAACCAAATGCAAAAGAATGTAGTAAATAACAATATCAGGATCAGTGATTCTCAGCAAGGAATGGATGTAATGATCCCCATCATGAATTCAGAATAAACTCATTTGAGATACAATTTTTGCAGAACCAACTCGCATGGAGAAAGAGAGTCAAAACCAATGGAAAAAAGAAGTATAACAATGTCACAATTGGAAAAGTCAACAACAAGTGCAAACTGAACAATCAAGCTTGAATTTCTACAGTGCAACAAAGAGGATTACTGTTTCATCAGGATTCGAAACAGCCGCTGATGTTTAAGCTGATACTAAGCCATGGAAAGTAGAACCTGAAATAAATATTGTTTTCTGTACATTCTAGGCACTGTGTGCACAAGTTCCTCCCTAGGAATGCCCTTTCTGGTCATAAAAACGCTCCTACTTCAGCAATCTCACTAACAAGATCCACAGTGTTTGACCCGTGTGATCCTTAAACTCAGACTCTGGGTTTGTTGACAGTTGGATGAATGCGAAAGTGGCAACCACACCCCAGAAACCGCCCACGAAACCCAAAGCTACGCTGCCAGAGAACCAATATAATGCGTGCTCTCCGTCATTTTCTTCTCTGTCCATTAAACCAGGCGCTTTGCTGTAATTGCTGCAGTCCGCATTCAATGGAGGCCCACAAAGTTCTTGGTTGCCAATGAAGCTCCATGAATCAAAGCTCTGCAGTTGAGTGCTGGAAGGAATTTTACCAACCAAGTTGTTGTACGACAAGTTCAAGTAATTCAAGAATGTGAGACTTCCCAGGGTTGAAGGGATTGATCCGGACAGCTGGTTCATCGATAGATCCATGGATTCAAGAGAGAGCATTGGGGTTAGATCCTTCGGAATTGCACCAGAGAATGAATTATGTGAAAAGTTGAGATATTTAAGGGCTGCCAGGCTTGAGATCTCGTTGGGGATCTGTCCTGACAAGTCATTCCAAGAGAGGTCCAAACTCCGTACATAGTTCAGTATGGTGCTGTAGTCCAACAACTGCCCTTTTCTCACAAGAATCTGAGTATCCAACAATGATTGCCCACGAACACCATAAACTGCAATGACCCCTAAAGTATTATTATTTGGAGTAGCCATGGCACTGAGATTAGCAACACATTCTGGCAAGGCCCCAGAGAGAGAGTTGTGAGAAAGATCCAAGATCTGTAAAGATTGCAGGCCACAGATCTCCTTAGGTATGCTGCCATGGAACTTATTCCGGCGTAAACTAAGAATGGATAATCTTGAAAGGCTTTGTCCCATCCATTCCGGAATCTTCCCCTCCAATCCATTATCACTCAAGTCAACTATGACTAACCTGGAGCAGTTTTGGAGGGACGGTGGAATTTGACCAGACAGCCTATTGTTCTGAAGGCGCAAAGATTTGAGGGAACTTACATATCCAAGGGACTTTGGGATCTTGCCACTGAGCTTATTTCCTCCCAGCCTTATGCTCGACAAGCTCGGCCAAGTCTTCCAACAATCTGGTATCTCACCAGTCAGATTATTACCATATAAGCTCAGAAATTCTGTAGCCCTCATCTCACTGGGGTTGAAACACAAGAACTTGAACAAGTTTCCAGAAAGCAGATTTTTGGAAAGGTCAACAAATGTCAAGTTGGATGAGATGGTAGGCAGAGGACCTTCCAAGCAATTGGAGCTGAAATCAAAGTATGATACAGTGAGAACTACAGGTATGACATGTGGGAGCCTTCCAGGGATTTGGTTGCGAGAAAAATTCAAATAGTAGAACTGAGATGATATGCTCCAGAACCAGCCAGGAATGGGTTCTGAAATTCTAGAGTTTGATAGGTCAAGAGACTTGAGATGCTGCAAACTCTTGAGCCAATGAGGAAATCCAGGTCCAACATACCAGGATTCTAGGTCCAAGTCTTCAAGTAGGTTGTAAGGAACCCAATCTGGCTTAGCTTTCATCACCATCTTGTTTCCAGATGCATACAAGCAAGACAGCTTTCTGAGGTTGGCAAAGTGAATTTCAGGGTAAACAACACCATGCAATGAGTTCTGAGAGATATCCACATAAGTCAGCTGTGCCAATGCCCCAAAACTTGTTGGAATTGTCCCACTGATGTTATTTCTTGAAAGGTCAACATAAATCAAGGAAGTCATTTCTCCGAATGACATTGGAAGTGAACCAGAAATGGAATTATTTCCGAGGACGAGACGGTGAAGTTTCTTGAAATTTCCAATACAACTGGTCAACTGACCAGACAGTTGACAACTATCCAACATCAATTCCTGTAAAGAATTAGCACATTCTCCAAGGATTTCAAACAACTCTGATACTTTTTGATTCAGCTTTACCTTTTGCAGAGAAAGCGACCTCAAACGGCAGAAGCTTTTGAATGACTCTGGAATTCCCCTCTCAAATTCGAGGCCATGATTGACGGACAAATCAAGGTCAACAAGAGAAGACAAGTTTCCAATGCCAGCAGTTGAGACTTCACCGTCCAAATGATTACCATAAAGATCGAGTGTCTCTAGATGACTTAATCTATACAACCAGTTTGGTATTGAATGACTGAATCGGTTGGAGTACAATGCAAGGGTCCTCAATGAAGTAAGGTTTTGAAGCTCGTCAGGAATTGGACCATCAAAAGAGTTGATTCCCAGATTCAAGTAAGTAAGGCTGTGAAGATGAAAAACCCAACTAGGAACAGAAGTTTGATCAAAATGATTTTGCCGCAAACTAAGAGCAGACAACGAAGACATGTTCAAATTCTTGAGGGGAGGGATATGACGGATACGACAGTTTGATAGATACAATTCTGAAAGAGATGGGAGTGTGTTTATCATGTTCAACCAGTCAGAAGCATCACTAAGATCGACATCACTAAAATCAAGGTACCGTAGTGAAGACATACCAGAAAGCCACTTCAAACTATCGGCATATAACACATAACGCGTGGCAGCCTGCAGGCCAAGTTGATGCAGATTTGAGAGGTTTCCCAGTTGATGAGGAATGACTCCTCCAAATCCAGCTCCATCAAGGTAGAGGTGCTTTAAACTACTCATAGAGCCAAGAAAACTCGGTATGGGAATCCCTTGGAAACGATTGTTTGACAGGTCCAAATAACTGAGATACTTCAGCTGAAGCAATGAAGGATTTAGCTTACCGCTAAACGCCGAGACGTCCCTGGAAGAAGGCCATCCAAGATGGAGCTCAGTGACATGGCCGGTAAAATTATCACATACAACACTGGACCATGTACAGGGATCCTGGCCAACCCAAGATGATAGAAAGCTTGTAGGGTCTTCAAGATCATCCTTGAACTTCAAAAGGGCTTCCCTTTCATCTTGACAACAGCCTTCACTAGAAGTTACATGGTTGAAGTACATGCAGCACAAGCAGACAAGAAGAGCTGAGACAGCAGTCATTGAATTAAGGGTTATTAGTTGGGAAGGCTCAAACTCGCAGCAAGTATACCATATACAAGCATTGCTAGTAACAGACGCAATGTGTCTCAACTCTTTTGAAGCTAATCTTTCCTGTTTTCACGGAATTCTTCATTGGAGAATTCTCCTGAGTTCCCAATAGAATGAGTCAGTCTTCAGTCAAATTCTTGATTTTAGCTAAGGGAAAAAGTATCAGCTGCTGCCCCCTGTCTCTTAATCATAAAATAGATCTGTCATTTTGTGTGGTTAGGCTGAGCTGTTGCAATATATTCCTGTCCTTCCTGTAAAGCATATGAAGTCACGAGGATGAGACAAGACTGATGAGGGAGAAAGCTTTCATTATCAATAAAATAATACATTCCTGAGTTTTCAATAGAATTAATATCCGTCTTCAGTCAAATTCGTGTTTTAGCTAAGAGAAAAAGTATCATTTGCCGTCCACCATCTGTTAATCATGAAATCGAACTGCCAATTTATCTGGTTAGATTCAGCTGTTGCATTGTATTCTACTCCTTCGTGAAAAATAACAAATCAGAAGGATGAGACAAGACACTTACATATCAACTAAGAAACTACTGGGGAAAATGGGATAAGAATACTCACACATACGCCAATTTCAAGCAACAATGTGTTTCTGTTGAAAAGAAACGTATGCCAAAGCCAAAATCTAAACTTGAGTGCAGCAACGGTGAGAAATGACGAGTACATGAAGGAGCGACGTGGTGGTCTGGAGGGCGCTAGCAAGCTTCTCCAAATGAGGTCATACTAATGGTATTCCAGCCGGTTTCATGACCGGTATACTCAACCGTCCCACCGGTGTGATAACCATCACCATTGAATTAATAGCACAACTCATAATCCTTGCTCGTTTTTACATTTCTACAAACAGATGGAAGGCGACCTAGTTCAAGAACCACTCTCATCCAGAAACTACAGCCACATTCCCATAAAAGGCTACATACCTCCCTTAACATTCCCCCAGCAACGGCACCGGTAGAAACTCGCCCACTATCTCTAAATCCCTTTAACTCGGCCAGTGAATACTATTCACGGGAAATTGAGAGGCACTCAACGGCAAACCCCAGTAAGTCTGCCAACAGAACATAAACCTCCCCAGAACCGATGAAGTGGAAATTGAAAGAAAAGGAAGCACAATAAAGAGATAGAACAATGCAAAAAGAACGAAGTCTAACACTAGCACAATACAGAATTATTAGCAAGGAATGGATGTAATGATTGCTATCATGAACACGGAATAATCTCATCTGAGAAACAATTTGCACAATCAATTAACATGTAGAAAACAGGATCGCAACCAACGGAAAAAAATAAGCAATTGTAACAGTATGACATGGCTGGAAAAATCAGTATCAAGTGCAAACTGGACAGTGAACAATATCGAGCTTGAATTTTTGCAGTGCAACAAGGTTTCCTTTTCAATCAGGATTAGAAACAAAGTTTTACAGTGCAACAGGTTGGATCTGAATATGAGTGACTACTGGTGATCTGAGTATGTGGCTTTCTGCCTTATCCTCTGACCGATCTAAGTATACATTTAAATAAGAATATTTGTTAAGAAATGACAAAGTCTAGTCTAGGAGGATTACAGTTAATTTAAATCACTTACAGCTACGGCCAAGCTTCATAACATTTGATAGAAAGACTGATATAACTTCTGTTTCTGTACATTCTGGGTACTGTGTGCACAAGTTCCTCCCTAAGAATGCCCTTTCGGGGCAAGAACACGGTCCTACTTCAGCAATCTCATTACCAAGATCCACATTTTTTTACCCGTGTGATCCTTCAACTCAGACTCTGGGTTTGTCGATAGTTGGATGAATGCAAAAGTGGCAACCACACCCCAGAAACCGCCCACAAAACCAAAAACTACGCCGCTAGAAAACCAATACAATGCATGTTCTTCATCTTTTTCTTCTCCGTCCATTAAACTATGCAATCTGCTGTCATAGCTGCAATCCAAATTCAATGGAGGTCCACAAAGTTCTTGGTTGCCAATGAAGCTCCATGAATCGAAGCTCTGCAGTTGAGTGCTTGAGGGAATTTTACCAACCAAGTTGTTGTACGACAAGTTCAAGTAATTCAAGAACGTGAGACTTCCCAGGCTTGAAGGAATTGATCCGGACAGCAGGTTCCACGATAGATCCATGGATTCAAGAGAGTGCATTGCAGTTAGATCCTCCGGAATTGCACCAGAGAATGAATTATGTGACAAGTTGAGGTATTTAAGGGCTTCCAGGCTTGAGATCTCGTTGGGGATCTGTCCTGACAAGTCATTACAAGAGAGGTCCAAACTCCTTACATAGTTCAGTATGGTGCTGTAGTCCAACAACTTCCCTTTTCTCACCAGAATCTGAGTATCTAACAACGATTGCCCCTGAACACCATAGACTGCAATGACCCCTAAAGTATTATTGTTTGGAGTAGCCATGGCACTGAGATTAACAACACATTCAGGCAAGGCCCCAGATAGAGAGTTGTGAGAAAGATCCAAGATCTGTAAAGATTGCAGGTCACAGATGTCCTTAGGTATGATGCCATGGAACTTATTCATGCGTAAACTAAGAATGGACAATCTTGAAAGGCTTTGTCCCATCCATTCCGGAATCTTCCCCTCCAATCCATTATCACTCAAGTCAACTATGACTAACCTGGAGCAGTTTTGGAGGGATGGTGGAATTTCACCAGACAGCCTATTGTCCTGAAGGCGCAAAGATTTGAGGGAACTTACATATCCAAGGGATTTTGGGATCTTGCCACTGAGCTTGTTTCCTCCTAGCCATATGCTCGACAAGCTCAGCCAAGTCTTCCAACAGTCTGGTATGTCACCAGTCAAATTATTACCATATAAGCTCAGAAATTCTGTAGCCCTCATCTCGCTGGGGTTGAAACACAAGAACTTGAACAAGTTTCCAGAAAGCAGATTGTTGGAGAGGTCCAGAAATGTCAAGTTAGATGAGATGGCGGGCAGTGGACCTTCCAAGCAATTGGAGCTGAAATCAAAATATGATATAGTGATAACTATGGGCACGACATGTGGGAGCCTTCCAGGGATTTGGTTGCGAGAGAAATTCAAATAGTAGTACTGAGACGATATGCTCCAGAACCAGCCAGGAATGGGTTCTGAAATTCCAGAGTTTGATAGATCAAGAGACTTGAGATGCTGCAAACACTGGAGCCAATTGGGAAAACCAGGTCCAACATACCAGGATTCTAGGTCCAATTCTTCAAGTACCATCGAAGGAACCCAATCTGGTTTAGCTTTCAGCACCATCTTGTTTCCAGATGCATAAAAGCATGTCAGCTTTCTCATGTTGGCAAAGTGAATTTCAGGGTAAACAACACCATGCAATGAGTTCTGAGAGATATCCATATAACCCAGCTGTGCCAATGCCCCAAAACTTGTTGGAATTGTCCCACTGATATTGTTTCTTGCAAGGTTTACATAGTCTAAGGATGTCATTTCTCCTAACGACATTGGAAGTGAACCAGAAATGAAATTATTTCCAAGAGTGAGACGGTTAAGTCTCTTGAAATTTCCGATCCGATCAGTCAACTGACCAGTCAGTTGGCAATTAAACAACAACAATATCTGTAAAGTATCAGAAGCACATTCTCCAAGGATTTCAAGCAACTCTGATATATTTTGATTTAAGATTACATTTTGCAGAGAAAGCGATCTCAAACGACAGAAGCTTTTGAACGACTCTGGAATTCCCCTCTCAAATTTGAGGCCATGATTGAATGACAAGTCAAGGTCAACAAGAGAAGACAAGTTTCCAATGCCAGCAGTTGAGACTTTACCATCCAACTGATTACCAGATAGATTGAGTGTCTCAAGATAACGTAATCTATACAACCAGCTTGGTACTGAATGATAGAATTGATTGGAGGACAAGCGAAGGGTCTTCAGAGAAGTAAGATTTTGAAGTTGGTCAGGAATCGGTCCACCAAAAGAGTTGTATCCTAGATTCAAGTAAGTAAGGCTCTGAAGATGAAAAATCCAACTAGGAACTGAAGTTTGATCAAACTGATTGTGATACAAACTAAGAGCATACAACAAAGACATGTTAACATTCTTGAGGGTAGGGATATGATGGATTCGACAGTTTGATAGATACAGTTCTGAAATAGATGGGAGTGTGTTTATCATGCTCAACCAGTCAGAAGCACCACTAAGATCGACATCACTCAAATCAAGGTATTGTAATAAAGACAGACCAGAAAGCCACTTCAAACAATCAGTAGATAACACATAATCTTTAGCAGCCTGCAGGCCAAGTTGATGCAGATTTGAGAGGTTTCCCAGTTGATGAGGAATGACCCCTCCAAATCCAGATCCATCAAGGAAGAGGTGCTTTAAAGTACTCATAGAGCCAAGAAAACTTGGAATGGGAATCCCATGGAAATTATTGTTTGACAAGTCCAAATAACTGAGATACTTCAACTGAAGCAATGAAGGATTTAGCTTACCACTGAACACAGAGTCGTCCCTCAAAGAAGGCCATCCGAGATGGAGCTCAGTGACATGGCCAGTAAAATTATCACAGACGACTCGAGACCATGTACAACAATCCCTTTGACCAACCCAAGATGATAAAAAGCTTGAAGGGTCTTCAAGATCTGCCTTCAACTTGAAAAGGGCTTCTCTTTCATCTTGACCACAGCCTTCACAAGAAGTCACATGGACAAAGAACATCCAGGCCAAGCAAACAAGAAGAGCTGCAACAGCAGCCATTGAGTTAAGGGTCGGTAGTTGTGAAGGCTCAAATTCACAGCAAATATACCAGATACAAGCGTTGCTAATAACAGAACGCATTGTATCTTAACTCTTTCGAAGGTACATTATTCCTGCTTTCCTGTGACTTTTTAATTGAGAATTATCCTGAGTTCCCAATAGAATGAGCCACCGTCTTCACCAAATTCTTGCTTTTAGCTAAGGGGAAAAGTATCATCATCTGAGTTCCCACTAGAAAAGGCTATCATTATCAATAATATAACACAATTCTGAGTTTCCAATTGAATGAATCACTGTCTCCAGTCAAATTCTTGTTTTTAGCTAAGAAGGAAAAATCTATCATTAGTTTTTTTACATAAGTAAGCAGAGAAATTAACGTCAAAAGGAAAGATACTGGAATTGATCCAATATCGAAGTCTGGAAACCACCTAGCAACAATTATGAGAAAAGGAGAAACTCATGAAATGATATGATATGGATGATCAAGAAGATTCTTCAGGGATGGTGAAGAACACAAAGACTAGTAAGTAGTAACTAATCCTAGTAGGCAATAAATAACACCCAAGTGTGAAAACAAAATTGTGGTTGGTCTCGTCATCCTACTAACACAATCCTATCACTAAACTTAATCCCTGAAGTGAATAAATAGCATAACTCATAATTCTTCTCGATTCTAGCATTGTGTCCATTGCGACATTTCCACAAACAGATGGCAGGCAACCTAGTCCAATAAACACATCCAAAAACTATAGCCACGTTCCCATAAAAAATCTCCTTACCTTCATTCCCCAGCAGCGGCGTTAAACTCGACACTGACTGCAAATCCGTTCTTTCAGCAGCAGCGAACTGATCGCAAATCGGACAACGTGAAGGGAGAATCGGAAAGCAGCGTCTGGAATACTCTTCGAGAATTGGAAACCGGAAGGGATAAAAGGGAAGACGTTTCTGTCTTCAGAAAAGGGCAAAGAGGCCACGAGCCCACGACTGTTGTGGCATCTGTGCCGGCGCCGACGACTTGAGCGACGGCGAAGTCCACTTGCGTTGGCGGATGAAAATCGATGCGGTGGCCTGGGACCGCCACTAAGTAACGAACTTTACATGGGGCAAAAACTAAAACTGCGGAAGGGTGTATTTGTCAAATTTCATTACGTCCGTTTGATATAAATGAATTCCATAAGTTTTGTGGAATTCATTTTGAAATGAAATATTTTTGTGTTTGGTATTTAAAAGAATTCATTTTACAATGAAATGAATTCTTGATTCATTTGGTACCAAACGATATGTTGGTATAAATGAGAGCTAAGCAAAACAAATAATTTTGGGGATTATTTGTTAGTTGAGACAAAGTATAAGGGCTGAACTGATACATAACCCAGCCTCTACTCCAAATCCCAATTCAAACTCTCAATTGTGAGTTTAACACTCTAGTTGTGTGAAGTTGTCAACATTTATACATGGATTTTATAGTTATTGAGACCTAAAGACAATCAAATTAAATCAAATCAACTTTTGTATCCACGCATTGAATATAATGTTAATTCAATATTCATATCTTAGGAACTAGATGACAAAAAAATTTATAGTTACAGGAAAAAATTGTGTTACGTGGACTAAAACTCGGAGCCCCTTTTGATGAACCGTTAATAACTCGATTGTGTATTACTTAACGTGACACCGTGAATGAGATTAAAGTTTAAAGGAACTAAACTGCATATTATTCACTAACTTATTTTTTTCACACTATCTCATATACCAATAAGTGAACTTTTTCCGATAATTCTAAGTGAATTTTTCTCTCGTAATCTCATAATTTTTTATTTTTTTAGGGAACGTAAATTTAATTGACTAATTACACTATTTTCAACCAGCACGTACTAAGTAAATAAGAAATTCCTACTATTTCAACCAAAAATGGCGTTGAGACATTAGCCTCTTTCCAACCAAAAATGGTGATTGAAGAAGTGAGTTGAGGCTATGATTTGGTTTGTAATTACTTGTTTACTATATGTGATTTAAGGCCAAGGAAATGCTTAGTTAGTTTTTTTAATTACCCATATTTATAGACGAAATGGGAAGTGGCCAAGTGGGTTCTATTGCTCGATTCCATTTATGATGATAAGTTTGCACGCAGAGAATAAAGCATACCTACGGGTTCCAGCTTTTTTGGTTAAATTTATCCGGAGAGAAATCGGCTTTGAAGGAAGTTGATGTGGATAAATTAAGGGAGGATGATCTTCATCTTCTTTATCAAATTGAGGGTGTGGCTGTCACGTTTTCATTTCGCTTTAAATTTATCTTGTTTTCCTTATCATTCACTCACAAGTTGAAGGATGGTCACACTCTTAACTTGATTGGAAGAAGAAGAATCGTTCAAATAATGTGTTTTTTTCTTTCAGTATTCCACATTGAGCTAGAGCCAGAGTTCTTATAAAAATTCCCCAATCTCACGTCAAAATGTGTCTAGTTAGTTAAAATCGGTTTCTTACTTATAAATTACATATAGGGATGACAATGGGTCGGGTTGGGTCGGGTTTTGCCAAATCCAAACCCATGAGTTTATCTGTGAAAAAAACCGGGGTAAAATTCACTGGGTTTGAAAAACTCAAACCCAACTCACCCCGCTGGGTATCCGCGGGTTCATGGGTACCCACGGGTTTTTGTCGTAAAAAATTTACAATAACAAATTCCTATCAAAATTAAAGTCAAATATCAATCTCTCAATACAAATTATCCATATATAAAGCACTATTCTAGAAAATTCAAGCAAATCACAAATTAACTATACAAATTGTTCAACACCAATCTAGAAAACTCAAGAAAATTGATCATCTTGGAAGACATGATGTACATTTTCACTACTATCGTACATTATTGTTACCAGAAGGAAAACAATGGGTTTGGTTTCATCTAAATCTAATGCTAAAAAAAATAATTTTTGGTTCGATTTATTTGGTAAATCTTGTGGTTGGGTAGTATTTCTGGTTCGATTATGGTTCCACCATTATGCCTGATTAATTTGGTCAAATTGATAGGTATTTTGTGTTTTTAAGAGACGAAATTTTAGAAGAAAGACAATAAAGTTTTTCGTTAGGGATTAAACAAACGAGTACTATTACACACTATTATATGCTATAATTTTACTAGCTACTGCTTAAGCAAACTAGTGTAGGTTGAGAGTTGAGACTGGAGTCCAGTACTGTGTACACAAAACCACTCTGGAATTGGATCAAGGCCCGTTTGAGTTAAGCCTGGAAGACCATAAGGGCTAGGGATGGGAAAATAGACCAGACCGTTAGAAAAAACTGTGGTCCAAATCGTAGCACACAGTTTGGTCCGGACCGTTAAGTATGGTCTGGTCTGGTCTATGATCTGTATTATTTTATGTTTGGATCTCTTGGTCTGCTCTGGTCTAGACCGCGGTTTATCGGACCAAACCGTGGACCCAACCGACTTGTCAATACGTGTTAACAGCCCATTCGACCACTCTTTCAACTCCCACAACGACACCCAAGTCTCAACCTTAGTTTTGTGAATCTCGTCCCTCCTTCATTCACAACCACATTTAACCAGAGAGTAGAGATAGTTGTGTCTCCATATGATATTATGTTAATGTTTACGACGTTATGGTGCAAGTTGGGATGCTTTTACTTTGTATCTTTGTTATGTACTAAGATTTAGGGTATCAAAATTATTCATGCATGTTAGGATTAATGTGTTAAGGAAAATAACAATTATTTTTCTTGGTTATTTGTCAATTTTTTGTGTGGTTGACTAAACAAATTATTCATTTCGTTGAGTGTGGTCTATCTGGACCAGACCAGACCGCACATGCGTGGTCTGGACCGGACCGTATAGTTTGTGGTTTGTTCTATGGTCTATACTTCAGCCTCACGGTTTGGATCATAGACCGTATATATGGTCAGGTCTGGACCAGACCGCACCATTTTCCAGCCCTAATAAGGGCCTTTTGCTTACGAATAGGGATGACAATGGAGCGGATTTAGGTGAGATCTCCTAAACTATCTCATCATCATCTCTAAATAGCTAAATATATACTCGCAGCATACCCATGCGAAAAGAGATTTTGCAACTTCATCTCTATATCCACATTTTTCGAATATCTAATGTTCTCACCTTATATCCAATATTATACCTAGAACTAATACAGTAAAACTTACTTAATATGTAAATTTTCGGTTATAACATCAAATTAATAAATTGTAAAATCAAAAAAGGTAGAACCATTTGTAATTCAAAATCTAAGCATATAATCCTACAAAGTAATAATAAAATCACTATTTTAGCATCCAATCACTCTAACTTTTGTATATATAAAAAAAATTATATGGGTCGGGAGAGCATAAAATCATACTAGCTCAATCTCCATCAATTTTTTGTGTGTTCTATCCATATCCGCCTCATACCCGATCAATACATGGATTCTCCACGTTGACTGGATCGGTATGATCTGATACCCACGATCGTGGATTTAGTTACCCTCTGTACTGATGAAGGATCCCTCTTGTTCCCCGATACATAGTTTATATTGTAAAGCTTGAACCTTCTAGCGACATGATCACTAGTCTAATGTATATGATCTAATACATTTTGCGGTAGTAATAGTACTGCAAACTGCCATGGTACTTACAACACCATTTCAAAGGATCGATGTTCTAACACCGTTCATTGTCATTGAACTGTATGGATATATTGTGATCGTTAGATGAATACAGTGACAATTCTATAAATAAGATATCCATCTACGATCGGGGAACACCAATTGTAAAATACAACGACTGCCAAATGTTGTATGGATGTTCCTATAAGATGTAAGCACTCTAGCCGAATTCCTATAAAAACATCTCTTTTTTGTGGATGGGGAACGTGACACACTAGAATGTAACTGTTCTTGTTATAAATGCATGTATATTTTTTATGACAAGTTTTGTAGCGACGCAAAACAAACTTTGATAGAGAACATGCATGGTCCCTACCATTAAATACCAAAGGATTTCTTCTTAATTATTTGAAGCAGTCAACTGCATGCAATTAATGCACGGACTACTTTTTCTTTACTTTTGCACTTCCTTACTTCCATGTGTTAGCCCAAACCCAAAAACAGAGCAAAACAACAAAAAAATATGCAATGCATGCATACTTTATGACAAGTGTAACTTTTAGTGACCACAAGCGAAACTTTACCCTAAAATATCCAACCGTTACAAAATGTCAATTCCTTCAAAAATAGTTTTGGTGGGCTTTTGTCGTGTGTAATTAATATTCCATGAATAGATATATGCATGTGAGTTAATTACATTATTGATAATTTAAATATGAGTATTAAATATATGAGAAGCTAAATATATACGTGGAAATTAGAAACCAATTTTACATATATGGCAGCATATTAAAAATAGATGTGGAAATTTGAAATCAATTACATATATGGCAAGATATTAGATAGGTTTATGTCTTATTGAAGAAAGTCTCTTCTTTAAGTTAAATTTTATTTGCAGTTGATGTCGGAAACTTATTAAGGTTGTGAGAGTGAACTAACTAATGTACGGAATTCAGGACTTTATTTGTAACACGTGTGGGCTTTTTTCCTGTTATAGATTCATTTTGAAGTCGGCGCAAAAAGAATTTTTTACTTGGTAACTTAAAATAGATCGATTTGCAGAGCTCGGATAGATTTTTTATGCCACGCGTAAGAGCATCTTCTTGCGGCGCCGAACTAATGATTAAAGGTTGTGACGTGGTCTGGCCACACTGAAATCAAAAGTTAGTTGACATCATGTGAGAGTTTGTTTAATTTTCGTTATAACTTTGTTTTAAATTAGGCGCGAAAGTTAATTTATGTTTGGGGTGAATAAAATTTTCAAGATAGTTGTGCATAGAAAATGCAATCCAATAATACACAAACAATGTCGTAGAATATCTAAAACATATAAAAGTAGACACATAAGAACGTTGATATAGCTACAATGTCATAAGGCGAGTGTTGGGTCTTGCCTAGTGTCTCCACTTCGACATCACCTCAGAATGTCTAACCTTTAGAAGGAAAACAACAATTTGAATTTTGAATGTTAAAGACACTTGTATGAGTTAAAAGTTTGGATGACAATATCTAACTCGTGAAAATGAATATCATATAATGATATAACTAAGCCTATTTGCTTAGTCAAATGGCTAAAGTATTATCAACATAAGATTGGTTAAAGTCAAATATCATTCAATCTGATGGTCCACCATATCCATTACCAATTAATTACACAAAATGATAGTTTTGAAAATTTTGAAATTTCATTAAATGTAATTAATTATTTTTCAATTTTCTATTATTCTCTCTCACCTAACCACTTTCTCTAAACCTATTATTTTCATCACTCCTTTCTTGTCTTTCTCTCTCCTAATACAGTTCTCTCTCTCTGTCTCTCTCTCTCCTCAGAGTTTCTAGTGATGGTGGCCATATTTATCACCACCCTTGTCTGATATCTTTTCTCTTGCTCCGATTCTCTCTCTCTTCTTCTATGATATTCTGGTGTCGGTGATCACATTAGTCATCAATGTTTCTATAAAGTTTATCTCTTCACCGTTTCTAACTCTCTCTCTCTCTCTCTCTTCTTCCTTTTCGCATCAAAGATGATGGCAACTTTGTAGTTGTCAGTTCTCTTCTCCTTCTCTCTCTCTCCCTTCTTCCCTTCTCATAACTATATGTTTCTGAATCCATCCTCTCTTAGTCATCCATTGTTGAGGTAAGCAACTCTTTCTTCTTCCTAGTGAGATTTCCAACTATCAAATCTGCCATCTGTCTTTTTGTTGGTCACTCAATATATCATCCCTAACTCGCGACTTTCTTTCTGTCGGTTATAGATATTTCAAAAAATAGATGAGTCACCACTTTATATAAGGCAAAACGTTTCTAAGTCCACACATGTCCACATCCCATCAATCTCACTTAATTGCGTTCACCTTCTCCATGTTTCTGCTCTCCTACTTAGAGAAAATGATAAAAAAAACTTTCTCCCTTCCGTTTTCTTTTCATTTCTCCACTATTCATGATTTCCATCGTCTCCTTTGCATTTCTCTTTTCTCTCAGTCTCTCCAACGAGAAACTTCTATTATTTTTCTGTGTGGGTTCGTCGATTGTAGTTTGAAAGTTGACTACTACCAAATTCACCACTACGACAAGCGAACAACACACTGATCGCTGCTTGAAAGGGTCGCTCTTATTCTCTTGTCGTCTTCATAGTTGTACGTTTTTTGAGCCTTGTCTCTCATAGTCATCCTTTGTATAAGTAAGCAACTTTTTCTTCTTCCTAGTAAGATTTCCAACTATCAAATATGAAATATGCCTTTTTGTTGGCATAGTCACGATTTTGCCTATTTTCCCTTGTTGACGAAGTTCTTAATCATTGACAGAAGTTCATACGTTGTTATCTTTTGGTTTGTTCATGATAGTTTCAATTTTGGAATTCATACTAATTTTTTGTCAGTTTGTTTGTTTGGGTGTAGGTTTCTGCTAGGAATTGAAGTTGATCCTTCGGATCAACCATGCTTGAAGAAATCAAGATGCCTTCGGAAAGGAGACGAATATTTTCTGATGGAGCCAAGTTTGACAGACTTAGTGGGCTTCCCGATGAAGTTTTGCACCATGTACTCTCCTTCCTCGATACCAAGTGTGTTGTTCAAAGTAGCATTTTGTCAAACAGGTGGAGATCACTATGGAAAACGGTTCCCGTGTTCAATTTCAATGGAGAATCCTTCAATGAGCACAACTTCAAGGACCATGTGGACGAACTTCTAAAAGTCTATTTTGTCAACTCACACAGGCTTTGTCATGTATCGATTCTCAATTGTCCTGGATTTGGAGAGAGGTCTGATATCTTTGCCGCCATCTTCCGCTCAATCTCCCTCTGCGACCAATCAATCGAGACTCTGGACTTAAAACGAGTCCAGTTTGATAATATGACATTTGGGTTGCAAAGCTCTGGTTTCAAAGTGCTTACCACTTTGACCTTGTCTGAGTGCTACTTAGATTTCTCTAGCTGGAACCAGCCGCTCAACCCGTTTGCTCGTTTCCCCATGTTGAAGAATTTGGCACTAATATCTTGCAGTTGTTCTCTTGGTGACGATCCCGAAGATGACGAGACAATGAGGTGTTTGAAAGTTGTTGGACTCCAGTTGCTTATCCTAGAAGTAGACGATGTATTTGGTTTCGATGAGATAAAAGTATTTGCACCAAATCTGAAACGGTATACTTACAAGAATCAGATTCGTGACTTTTCTCCAATGACAGAAGTCTTGGTCAATGTCCCTTCCTTAGAGCATGCCGATATCAAGTTGTTGGGATACAAGGGCTTGTATGATGAGTATAAGCAAGAGGCAACCCGACAGTATGCAAACTTGTTCCTTGGTATGAGTAGAGCAGTGTCGCTTGTCTTCCAATTTGATACCGCCAAGGTAAGTTTCCTATAACTAGTGTAATGCGAACATGTTCATATCATTATCATATGTCATATATGTTGCAAAACATTTTCCTAATTTGCTTATCTACCGAATGTTTGTGATTACATTTGTTATGAAAGTCGTGCTCATCTCAAATTGTTTTGTTACGTGAGTTGGGTTTATTCCACCAAGACATTTGTGGAAAAATGTTAATGTTGTTCGTGTTTTTATTTTTTATTTTTCCTTGTGCTCCTGTTTTAGGAAGTCTTCGATGCTTGTGGCTTGTTAAGGGATCGACTCTCTCCTTTCAAAAGATTGAAATCCCTTAGTCTCCGTCATTCAGAACAAAAAGTCGACATACCAAACTACGTGACACGATTCTTTTTTGGTGACTCCTCTCTCAAATATGAAAAAGGTGTGAATGTAACCAAGGTAAGTCGATGGAACTATGCTCTTCTAGGCTGACTTGATATTGAACGTCAACTACATTTATAGTTGTGTATATGGAATGCATATTTTTCAAGATAATCTATGTAGAATGTAGCTCAATTTCATTTTTTTATGCAGGTGACTACATCATTTTGACTTTCAAGTGCTTGGAAGATTTCGCAAACTGCAAGTCATATCCTCTTGTGAAATTTCTTGAAAAGTAGAAGCTCAAGAGACTTCGGTTCCTGTTTGTATTGCTTATTGGAAAATTAGAGATAGGTCTTACTACTAGACCAAACTCATATAAGTATAACTAGACAATTGAGTGGTTTCTTTATGTTTGCTCTTATTGTGGACCATAATGGAAATCGAATGAATATCCCTCTATTATCTCAACGTTTTATTTTTGGAATTATGTTATGTTTCTTAAAATTTTTTTGGAATCAACAATTTGAATTTGGCGTGAAGTAGATAGGTTGTCACGTGGGATGAATCAATCAATTTATGACTTGACGAGATTAGACTTAAAATTTTATGCTTGAATAATCAATAATTAAATTTGGCGCGAAAGTTGGAAAATATAGTTTGTAATTCGATCGATCAAACCGCATGCATATAGTATCGCCCAGTAACGGTAACTGTAAGATTATTCCAATCATTAGGAAAATAATTCAAAATTACTATGAAAAATAATTTTGAATTATTTCCTACCATTAATCACTTTATATTTTTTACCAAAAAACTTTAAGCCAATGACATTATTGGTTAAAATTCAGACTTTAGTTACGAAAAAAAGAACATTAGTTACAAACCTTTATTCTCAACTTATATCCAATATTGTACATAGAATTAATACAATAAAACACTAAATATGTAAATTTTCGATTATAACATCAAATACTAATAGATCGTAAAATCAACAAAGGTAGAACTATTTGTAATTCAAAATCTAAGCATATAATCCTACAAAGTAATAAGAAAATCACAATTTTAGCATCCAATTACTCTAACTTTTGTATATATAAAAAAATTATATGGGTAGGGAGAGCAAAAAATCATACTAGCTCAATCCCCATCAATATTTTGCGTGTCTATCCATATTCGTCCAATACCTAGTCAATGCAAGGATTCTCCACATTGATTGGGTCGGGTTGATCTAATACCCACGATCATGGATTTAGTTCCCCCTCTGTATTGATGAAGGCTCCCTCTCGTTCCTTGGTACATAGTTTATATTGTAAAGCTTAAACCTTCCAGCAACATGATCAATAGTCTAATGTATATGATGTAACACACTTTATGGTAGTAATAGTACTGCAAACTGGGTTTCTACACCGTTCATTGTCATTGAACTGTGATGGATGCTTTGTGATCATTAGATAAATACAGTGATAATTTTATAAATGAGATGTTCCATCAACGATATGAGGAGCACCCAAGGTGAAATTCAACGACTGCCAAATGTTGTATGGACGTTCATATATGATGTAAACATCCTAGCCGAATTCTTATAAACAAATCATCTTTTTTGTGTGGGTGGGGAACATGACGCACTAGAATGTAACTGTTATTGTTATAAATGCATGTATACTTTTTTATGACAAGTTTTTGTAGCGAAGCGAAACAAACTTTGATAGAGAACATGCCTGGTGTCTACCATTAAATGCTAAAGAATCTCTTCTTAATTATTTGAAGCGGTCAACTGCATGCAATGCATGGACTACTTTTTTTGTGAGCCCAAACCTAAAAACAAAACAAAACAAAAAGAAAAAACATGTATGTTAGATGCATGTATACTTTTTATGACATGTGTAACTTTTAGTGACCACAAGCGGTACTTTACCCTAAAATTTCCAACCGTTACAAAATGATGATCCCTTCAAAAATAGTTCTGGTGGGCTTTTTCTCGTGTATAATTAATTATCCATGAATAGATATATGCATGTGAGTTACAATTATTGATACTTTAAATATGAGAATTAAATATATGATCAGAAGCTAAATATACGTGGAAATTAGAAACTAGTTTTACATATGTGGCAGCATATTAAATATAGATGTGGAAATTTGAAACCAATTACATATGTGACAGGATATTAACTAGGTTTATGTCTTATCAATTATAAGACATGAAAGTCTCTTTTTTAAGTAAAATTCCATTTGAAGTTGATGTCGGAAACTTATTAGGGGTGTAACAGTGAACTAACTAATGTGCGGAATTCAAGACTTTGTTTATAACAAGCGTGAGCTTTTTTTCCTGTTATAGATTCATTTTGAAGTCGGCGCGAAAAGAATTTTAGGTGGTAACATAAAACAAATCGATTTGCAGAGCTCGGATAGGTTCTTGATGCCACGCGTAGGAGCATCTTCTTGCGGCGCCAAACTAATGATTAAAGGTTATGGCGTGGTCTGTCTACATTGACATCAAATGTTAGTTGACATTACGTGAGGGTTTGTTTAATTTCCGTTACAACTTTGTTTTAAATTAGGCACGAAAGTTAATTTATGTTTGGGGTAAATAAAAATTTCAAGATTGTTGTGCATAGAAAATGCAATCCAATAATACAGAAATAATGTTGCAAAAAATCTAAAAAATATAAAATTACAAAGTCACATAAGAACTTTAGTATAGCTACAAAAACTAATATTTTTTCTTCTCTTAACTCTTAACCAAGTTTCAAAAAAGCAGTAAGGCATGTATTGGGTCTTGCCTAGTGTCTCCACTTCGACATCACCTAAGAATGTCTCATTTGAATGGAAAAGACACTTGTATGATTTAAAAGTTTGGATGGAGATATATAACTCGTGAGAATGAATATCATATAAATAAGCCTATTTTCTTAGTTAAATGGCTAAAGTATTATCAACATAAGATTGATTAAAGTCAAATGTCATTAAATCTTATGGTCCACAATATTCATTACCAATTAATTAAATTAAAAATAATTTTGGAAAATTCATTAAATGTAATTAATTATTTTCCAATTTTCCAACATTCTCTCACGTAACCTCTTTCTCTAAACCTATGATTTTTCATCACTCATTTCCTATCTTTCTGTCTCCTACTTACAATTCTTTCTCTCTCTTTTTTCTCCTTAGAGTTTCTAGTGATGGTGGTCATATCCATCACTACCGTTGCTTGATATCTTCTCTCTCGCTCCTATTCTCTGATATTCTGATGGCGGTGATCACATACGTTATCATTGTTTCTCTAAACTTTATCTCTTTGTCGTTTCTATCTCTCTCCCTCTCTCTCACACTTCCTCCCTTTCCCGCAGCAAAGATGATGACAAATTTGTAGTTGTTAGCTCTCTTCTCCTTCTGCATTAAAATTTTATGTTTCAGATATTTCATAAATGGATAAGTCACCACTTTATATGAGATAAAATGATCCTTAATCCACACATGTCCACATCCCATCAATCTCACTTCAATCCTTTCACCTTCTCCATGTTTATACTCCATTGCTTACAAAAAATTATGAAAAACTCCCACCGTCGGTTCATTTTCACCATATTCAGAATTTTCATCGTTGCCTTTGTATTTTAGTCTTTATTTAGCCTCTCAACCTCACCACGAGCAACGTATTTTTTTTCATGTTTGACTTCGTCGATTGTTGTTTGAAAGTTGATTACGACCAAGTTCACCACTGTAGTGAGAACAAAACACATATAGTTTCTTGAAGTGCCAATCTTGATCTTCTTTTTTTTTTTGTCTTCATGGCTATATGTTTCTGAAGCCTTGCCTCTCTTAGACATCCTTTGTTGAGGTAAGTCTTTCTTCTTCCTAGTGAGATTTCCAACTATCAAATCTGTCATCTGTCTTTTTGTTGGTCACTCAATATATCATCCCTAACTGGCAACTTTCTTTCTATTGGTTATAGATATTTCAAAACATGGATGAGTCACCACTTTATATAAGACAAAACGTTTCTAAGTCCACATCTGTCCACATTCCATCAATCTTACTTAATTGTGTTCACCTTCTCCATGTTTCTGCTCTCCTACTTGGAGAAAATGATGGAAAACTTTCTCCCTTCCATTTTCTTTTCATTTCTCCACTATTCATAATTTCCATCGTCGCCTTTGCATTTCTCTTGTCCTCAATCTCTCTAACGAGCAACTTCTTTTCTTTTTCTATGCGGCTTCGTCGATTATTGTTTGAAAGTTGACTGCTACCAAATTCACCACTACAACAAGAGAACAACACACGGATCGTTTCTTGAAAGGGTCAATCTTGTTCTCTTGTCATCTTCATAGCTATACATTTTTTGAGCCTTGTCTCTCTTAGTCATCCTTTGTATAAGTAATCAACTTTTTCTTCTTCATAGTAAGATTTCCAACTATCAAATGTGCAATATGCATTTTTGTGGCATAGTCACGATTTTGCCTATTTTCCCTTGTTGACGAAGTTCTTATCATTGGCAGAAGTTCATACGTTGTTATCTTTTGGTTTGTCCATGATAGTTTTAATTTTGGAATTCATACTAAATTTTTGTCAATTTGTTTGTTTGGGTGCACGTTTCTGCTAGGAATTGAAGTTGATCCTTCGGATCAACCATGCTTGAAGAAATCAAGATGCCTTCAGAAAGGAGACAAATATTTTCTGATGGAGCCAATTTTGACAGACTTTGTGGCCTTCCCGACGAAGTTCTGCAACATGTACTCTCCTTCCTTGATACCAAGTCTGTGGTTCGAAGTAGCATTTTTTCAAACAGGTGGAGATCACTATGGAAAGTGGTTCCCTTGCTCAATTTCGATGGTGAATCCTTCAATGAGCACAACTTCAAGGACCATGTGGACGAACTTCTAAAAACCCATTTTGTCAACTCTCACAGACTTCATCATGTATTGATTCTCAATTGTCCTGGATTTGGTGGGAGGTCTAATATCTTCCGCACCCTCTTCTGCTTAATCTCTCTCTGTGACCAACCGATCGAGACTCTAGACTTAAAACGAGTCCAGTTTGATAACATGGCATTTGGGTTGCCAAGCTCGGGTTAGATTAGGTCCTTAAGGCCTATTTCTTAAGGAAGATCTTAAACTCTTTTCAACCAATAGGGAGAAGGAGAGAGAGTCATTAGTAATCATTGGGTAACTACCTACCTAATACGTTAAAGGGTAAGACTGGAATATACAAATATTTAATGATATTATTTAATGATATTAATTGGGTTTTTTAGAATCATTCTTCTCCCAACCCTAAAACCGCTCATTCTCCAAAACTCGCCGGCATACCGCATAGCCGACGGGTCGCCTGCTTTCCACCGTCTCGTCGCTCTGAACTGCCATAGCCGTCAACCGTCGCTCCTCCTTTCTCCCGTGACGCCTCGGTGGTCGTCGTCGCACAGCCGGCTCACTTTCATAATCATCGGCAGCCGTCATCATTGGTCTGCTTCTACGGCGTCGCAACGATAACGCGAACAACGTAGCTGGCCTACCGACTCGATGGAACCGACAAA